AAAATAATCGGCCGATTCATCGATTTTTAAAATAATCGTTAGTTGCAGCCCTAAATCTGACACTGTCTTTGTTTCATTTTTTATAGGTTAAAGTTGGGGAAAATTAACAACCCTAACAATTGTATATAGTCTTCAAAATTTGTCACAATTTCTGCATTAAGTAGATTGCTCTTTCAGCTAATTACGTTTTAGACTTTGTGTGCTTTAAGTCACAATTTGATTCCGATAACAAAATTCGTTGCATTGCAAAAAATCTAAATCTAGATAAGTCATTTTTTCCTGAAATAAGTGCATTTGTTTTTGAATTGAGGAGGTAAAAGAGACATTTTGCCAATAGAACAAGACAATTTACACTTAAAATAAGAAAAAACACAATTGCATTTTTTTTATTTTAAGTGTATGTTATCTCATTATCTTATTTTAAGAGTAAAAATACTCATTCCATTGGCAAACTATCTCATTTACCTGCTCAAATTAAGGGTGAATACACTTAATTTAAGAAATTTTTACTTATTTCTAGATCGTTTTTGCAGTGTGATGATTATTTTAAGAATTGATTAATAATAATTAGTGAAATTAATCGTTTCAGCCCTAAATGACATTTACCAGCTCATCTACGCTCCGCTGCTTAAAGATATTAAAGAGGAATTTTCTCAGAAATGAAGAGGAGAGATTGAAAATAAAATGACTCGATGGTTTACCAACACAGAAACGGTGGTTTTATGATAAAATCATCTTTAATGTGTCGCTCTGTCAGCACTGCAGAGCGAGGAAGCAAACAGAGAAACGCCAAAGAGAAGCAATAATAATAAAAACACAATATTTACAACTGAATCCCAGTCTGCTATTATGTCCATAAGTGTTATGGATACATAAACACTCCCAATACAAGTGTTTATGGATATAAACACTTATGATAAGTGTTTATATCCATAAACCATATAAACACTTTTCTGCGTTCTGTTGTCTTTTTCAGGCAAACACAACCGTTAATCATATATTATCCTCTGATGGTGTTTTTAATGTCATAAAACCATCAGAATATGATTGAGAATATTCTCTCCTCTTCAGTATAAAGAACCCTGTTCTTCCTAAAAGGCCATCCACTAGTTCTTCAACTTAGAGTTCATTAATGTTCTGTTGGTCTGTGGACCAGAGGCGGAGCTGGAGGGGGCCCAGAGGTGGCCCT